AAACTCCTTTACAAAGTTAGAAGAAAAAAAATAACATCCTATATCTATCCTCAAGTATGGTTGCACTAGAACAAATGATGCTTTAGTCCTAACAGAAGAAACAGAGGAGAGAATGTAAATTGGAAAAGATGACCTCTGGGGATGTATTTGCACTTCTCTTTCTATTATTACGCTGGCTAAACTGGACCTTTCTCTGATTCGACAAATGCCCCCACAAAGCCGTGGGCCTTCGCCTGCCTTAAGAGCTGCCTACAAGGACTGAAGCAGCAAGCTTTTCACACTCGGAATCCTGCCAGACTTCTTGAACTTTGCACAAGATTTGTCACGTGGATCATGTTTATCCTTCCAACGCACTGAATCACAATAAGCTAAATCAGATTTTTCTACATTTTGAAATAATAATAAAACTGGCCATGTACTGTCAGACATTTCTTGCTATTATTTAGGGAATATTTGAAAAAGAACCTGTATATTTCCTTGTCGTCGTCCCTATTACTGCCATCAGTAATTAATGGATATTCTATGATTTATCTCAGTTTTATATTAAGCTGATTAGTCACTATTGCCAAGATGAATTAGGAAACTTACCTGTGATTGGTAACTGTCTTAACTGCATAAACAGAAGCTGCACATCACAATCAAAATGCCTGAGTGTCCATGACCAGCTAGGCATCCATCATGATTTGTGGAACTAAAAGATCATACCTTCAACCAAGGAGGTGAGGAGGGTGACATTCGCGGCCTTCCGTCTTCCTGCCGGCAAGTTCAAGCCAAGCCTGTCCAGTTTCTCTCTCAGGCAGCGGCCTCCATTCTTTGATTTCGCTCTGTCCAGAAACAAAAACTAGGTTTTGAAAGTTCCCATTCTGAAGCAAATCTGAGAAGACTTCACATAAGGACTATCACATGGGAAGGAAGACATAAGCACGGAGGGCTGGGGCGCAGTAGCAGCACAGAGAGAGACCTGAGGTCATCAAACAACTCCTCTCACCTTCTCAGGATGCCGCCCAGGAGAGAGGCATTGAGACACTCAGGGGGTGACAGGCGCCTCTTTACCTCAGCGATGGTCACCTTGTACTTGGAGGTAGAGCTGAGGAGAGACAAGCGGCCAGGCACGGAGCAAAACAAGTCAGTGGGATTGACCACACAAGTTCCACCTGAGGAGGAAGAAGTGTATGATATGTTAGTGAAAGAGAAGATAAATGCAGAGAAGAAGCTGACATCAAGGAGGGCTTGCTGTGGGGGTTGCATGGGGTTGTTTTTTTGGTTTTTGTTTTAGGTTTTTTTTTCCGGAACGGGGGTTGAACTCAGACCTTGCGCTTGTCAGGGAAACGCTTATTCTACTGAGCCTTCTCCCTGGCCCCATGACAACAATGTCCTTGGATGCTGGCCACAGCATCTCGGAATGCTGCTCTGATGATGTCCTTCCACACACTCATAACGCTCTGGTTTTTAGTATTTGCATAACAAATTGTTGAAGGGCACAAGTACAATTTCAGAGAAAAGTTCAACCTTACGGAATACAGGTGGCTCATCAGCGTGAACTTTGACATCATCACATCTAGAATTAATTCAATTAATTAAAAATCTGACCTCCAACTCCAAAAGCTAAACCCCCCAAAGGTAGGTGTCTTTTATACATGGATGTTTGTGAATGCATCTAAACACACACAATAGATAAAATCTTTTCAGTTGCATTATTATCTTTTCCAAAATATTTGAGAATTACTCTCTCTTCTCATCCCTCTGCCAATTGCAGGCAGCACAGTCACACTGTCCTCATGTACTACTAGCAGTCTTCTGCCAATTGCCAGAAATTTCCAAGCCATACATAGAGATGGGTCAAATCCTCGCACCACATGCCAATCTCCAGTGTCAGCAAACACAGGCAAACAACATAATATCTGGAGCACAACAGCATTAACACTTATTAATGTTATGTGTGAATAATATATTGTGGTTATTGAAATTATTACTGTCATGGTGCAAAACAAAGATAACTGCTCAGAGCCGAACCACCAAAGCCATTTGCCTTGCTGGAGTCCCTGAACAGAAGCTTTCTGTCTCCAAGGCTCTAGTCCTTCAATTTTATTTTTGATTAGAAAATACATAGTATCTTTCTTAATCTCAGGCAACTACCACAGAACAAAATGGACTTGGGGACCCAGAGGACAAAGGAGCTTCCTGCTGCCTGGCTCCTCACACTCTGAAAAGATCCTGAGCCAGCATCTACCAGGCCACGCTGGTGGTTCTCCGCTTAGGGGCTATGGGATTCCTCTGCACGCACGGAGGCATCTGAGCAAAAGTTTGTCAAGAATCAGTGGCCAGGGGCCAGGGAGATAGCTCAGTGGTCTAAGTGCCTGCCCAGCAAGCTCAAGGACCAGCCCCGTGCCAGCCCCAGAACCCCAGGTGTGCCATGCTGGCCATGAAAACCAGGCATGGTGGCACGCAAGGGGATATACATGACAGGAGGCTCACTATGTGTCAAAGATATGTAGTAAGACCCTGTACCAAATTAATTAATTAATTAATTAATACATTAATTAAAAATTTTAAAAAAGAATCAGTGGCCAATTCAGATTTATGGTCGTCCCCCCCCCCCGCCATTTCAATGTATTTGGTATAAAATACATACTTGCAGTACTGAGAATCAAACTCAGGTCCCTGCACTTGTCAGGCAGGCACTTAGACCACTGAGCTATCTCTTTTTAAAGCATGCATTTGCTTTCTCTAGAGCAAACCTTCAGACTCATCATCAGAAAAGAGTCAAGATCTATGAGGTAAAAATGGAAAAAGAAAAGCGGGTGAATGAAGGAAAATGTTTTCCCAAATCTTTTGTATTAAAAGTGTGATCCTTACTGGGCAGTCCCGGCGCTCTGTAAAAGGAGCATGCTGGAAGTGTGGAATCTCAGACCAATCTCAGACTTTCAGAGCTGCAATATGCACTTTGAGAAAGTCCTGGGATAGAACATATGCTTGCTGAAATTTGAGAAATGCCAGACTAAGACTTACTTACAATAGCTCTTATCGTTTTGTGCTGAGCAGTACATCGCTGTTACACCAGCCTCTGGCAGTCAGGGTCAGGTGTGTTCCCTGGGCGTGGTACCTTTACAGACTAGGATGATGCTTAAAATGTCAAAGGGACGGTTGCCTTCCAGGAGAGAATATGCCAGCCTCGAGGAAATTTTAATATAAATCCACTCCTATAATTTTTAGAATTCATTCTGGCAGTTTTGTGGTAGGTCTCACTTCTCCCACTCAAAGAGCTAGAGACTAAGGCATTTCTCTTGAGCACTCTGGAGCTGGCAATGTCCCCAAATGTCTTCCAAAACAGGAAGATGGGTCATCATGTTGGGGCAGATGTTCTGCACTTAGAGTTGGGTCCTATCCACATGATCAAATTCCCTGCATCAGTTCCTGGAATCCTGTTCTCAACATAGAGACTGAAAGAGGTCATGATTGTCAAGCTAAAGTCTTTTTCTTCAAGTAAGACTTGCAATCAACAACATAGGAGGTGATAAGTGACCTTCCTCAGGAGCTAGAAGTACAACTTCATTTATACTTCCCCACTTCATACACTCAAAATATGCCCCCTTGCTTGCAGCACACTTATCCCGTAGGTCTTGCTGCTTGCCGGAGCAGTCCTGGACATCCGCTTTCCTGGGTGTCTTTGGTTGTGCTGTCATGGCTGCTTCCACACACTGAGTTGGTTCAAAATGTTTACCTTTTGTGAGCGTTTTGACTTTGTAAAAGAACCAAAGTTGTATGGTTCGAGGTCCAGTGAATGAAGTAGCTGAGGACACACGGTAATGTTTGGCTGAGCCTGAGTGTCCCTCAGAGAGCACTTGGGAGTAGCACTCACTGAATTTTTGATCATATCTTGTAAAGACAGTTGTGAGAAAGACTGATAGAACTGCTTCAGAAAGTGGCAACAGTGCCATGAAAAGAGGCTTCGAGGGGAGGGGTGATATTTAGAGAGGGATTATGGGCAATGTGTTCTTTACTATAATATATTTTAAAATTTAAACATTCACTTATATTGTGTATACATGTTTTTTTCTAGCTACTAAGAAAAGGGAGGAACAAAATTGGGGCCTCTCTTAGCTTTACAAATCTTCAGGAGGTCAGAAACCCAATATGGAAGATGCAGATGGTTATGGGATTTGCAAAAGGAGTTAAATCACTTTCTTCTCTGTGAAAGAACTACCTCCCTTTGGCAAAGTGGACTCCCTGTGTTAAAAGCCAGCTGTGTCAACTGTTGAATCTGCTTCTAGCGAGGTTCTAACTACCTAGGCCTTACATCCAAGTTGGGTTTATGGCTTATCCTCAACTAGGCATGTGCTAGGTAAGTTACACGGGCTGCATATTAAGAGTATGCCTTATGCACACACAAATTGCCTGAAGGATTTATTTTGTATTCAAGATTAGCCATCAACTGTAGAGTCTTTTATTTTTTTATGTCACGGTATCTTTAAAGGGAATTTCTGTTGCTTTGATACTTGGCATTGCTGTAGCCTTGGGGAACCCTCTCATTCTGGCTAAGGATTTGGCAACTTGTAGGGTTTACAGCAACTTGGGGGACATACTATCTTTTTTTCTCAGTGGTTTCCTTTTTAGGCAGGTAGAAAAGATAGCTGGTCAACATGAGCAGAATTTGGCATTTGGAATGAAAGCATTGAGGGGCTGGGACATCTCTAGGGGGACCCTGAGCATCTGTATAGATGGCTCCAATGTGATCTTGAAGACCACAGGTCATGAGAGGACACCTCGCCAAGCCATCTCAGCAACTGAAACTCCTCGTGGAGCCTGGATCATCGGTGCTGCGCATGTCTGTTTTAGATTCAGCACCCCGGGCTGGCATAGCTTTGTGAGGGCTTTCAATCCAGAGCCAGAATGTTCATGCACAACCTCCCAAGCCCATCTCTCCTCCATTCATGATTCATAGCTCGGCGGAGATCGTTAGTGTTAAATTTGGAATTTGGAGACAAGATTTCCTATTTCCAGTGATGCTGCACACTCTAACCAGTAGCTATGGTAACAGTATAGGAAATTGAGGATTATCTACGCAAGACCACTTGTGTAGGACATCGCGTTTGTGAAAAGAAACCTTTCCCAGAGCGACAAATCTTAGCCATAGACTTGCTGTGTGTGTAACAAAACCAGGCACAGAACGCAAAGATGCAGGTGCTCCTGCTGTCCCACTGCGTTAGATCCTGGATAACCCGGAAGGGTTGGAGTCTGTATTCCCTTTGGTGTAGGCATGGACATTTATCCTAGTGTCTGCAGGAAAGTGTCTGAGGATACAGCGTGGGGTCACGGAAAAAGTACTGAGCTGTAAGTACGAACTAAGTCAGCTGGCAACTTGGCCCCACCACCTTGGAATTCTCTGGATTGTCACCTGCCTGAAGAATACGTATGCTCATATCTTCCCTGGAGAGCAGGTTCGCTGGAAGCTGGATGCACACGCTCAGCAGCCAGAGGCAAGTCCACTCAATAACTGCCGTCATGTGGAGCGCCCACCCGTGTCAAGGTACAAGCTTTGGAGCTAGAGAAGAACGCACCCACAGTTTTACCGTACCTGAGTGGTGACGCCCGAAGCTAGCCCACTTTTCCTCTAGGAGCGCGGCCCCCAGGAGACTGTCTGCTTCTGAGCCCACACCTGCTCTGGGCTAACGCCTTCTCCTCCCCCTCCCCCACCTGGGGACGCCCTCAACCTCGGCCAGGGGCTCCCAGTGCTCTCCAGGTGCGATCAATACTTCCTGGCGGGCTTCAGGCCGACGCCAGCCGGTGCGCACGGCACCGCCCCACTTGGCGCTGCGTCGGTGTTGGCATAATTAGCCCAAATCTTGGGAGCAAAATAAATGTTCTGTTCGCCTTACAGCCAAACAGATGTTTACAATTCAAATGAAAGAAATACAAACGGCGGGGCTTTTTTTTCTCCCCTTCTTCATCTCCAGTGATCGCTCTTTTTTTTTTTCCCTGACACATTAAAAATGTGTAAGCGATTACAAGAGTTTCCTGTCCCTGTTTGTTCTGCAGTTGCAGCTCTGCGAGGTGTGCGTGTGAGCAGCCTGGTGGGGAGAAGCTCCTCACCGCTTCCCCTCTAGCCCTTCTCCCTCAGCTCGCCTCCCCCTCGCGTACCCCTACCCCAGGCAGCAGATATTAACTGTACTCAGACAGCAAAGGGTTGGGGACTTAATTGCCACCGAGTAGGCCTTTGATGTAGCAGCCGTTGCTTTCAGTTAGCAGGAGGAAAGCACTAGTCCGGTGTGACGGGATGAGCGACCAGGGTGGCTGGAGGAGTCGCTCCGTGTGCAGGGTGCAACGGAACGAACAAGCCAGAGGAATGTAGCGTGTGTGTGTGTGTGTGTGTGTGTGTGTGTGTTGGCGAGCGTGCAGAGTGCTTGGGTGTTGATTTTCAAAATAGTTAAGAAACTAGAGCCATGAAGGCAGCGGGCAGCAAGAAAAACAACCTCCCATCGCTTCCCTCCACCTCCGCCAGTAATCATAACCGGCCCAACAATCAGCTTCTCTACGTGTAGCCTTGCTAGAGGTGGTTTAGACTTCCTCTACAAGACGCTAACTGCAGACCTGCAGCAGCTGGATGTGGGGTGAAGCAGCGGAGGCTCCAAGGGCCTCCCTGGCTTTTGCTTCACCCACGGAAGATGAACCCCAGCGATGAGATGCGGGCGAGCGCTGTTTACCCCGGGGACGATGAGCAAGGGGAAGGCAAGGCTTCCTCCCACCGCTCTCCATTTTTCCAAACCTTTCAGCGACAGGCTGAAGAGCCACAGATTCTCCCTTCAACTGAGATCTAAGACTCGACACCCTGCAGATAGCGGAAGGAGCTCCAGAGCGAGCCAGCAGAGGCGAGGGCTGGAAGAGGGAGGGTGGTCAGCTCCCGCCACCCCGGCACGGGCAGGCCAGGCGAGAGAAGGCGAGGCTGCATTTCATGGGGGCATTTAAAGCTGAAATCGAAGCTGACAACGTTTGTACCGCAATGTCAGCGCCTCAGCCTCGGCACGCCAGTCACCTCTAAGCTATCTGACAAACTCCAGCTCTTTTAAAACGTGCAGAGTTCAAATCATATTAATTCCCCAAAAATGTTTTGATTCAAAGTAGTTTGTATTTTGTGTAGCCACGGGCGATCGGGAAAGCGCTCCTGCCTGCCAGTGGCCGGTCCTCTCCCTCTCCGCTGGCCCAGAGGCTACGGCGGTACTTAAGCTTCTGAAATTAGCCTGGGGCTGCAAGGCGGAATGATCACAAGGCGAAACAAGGGCGCTTCCCCTCCTCACTTTTTTCATCTCCCCCTCCCCTTTTTTTAGTTTGCCGTCCTGATTTCACAAAAGAGACCGGGCCAAAATGTCATTTTCCACCTACAAGTGGAAAGAGTGGATCTTCTCATCTCTGTGCTGTGCTTACCGGAAGCCCATCGTCCCTGCCCAAAGGAATCCCTACCCTTAAATTCCAGTCTGGATCCTTTCTTTATGAGCTTCTTCCTCCTCTTCCTCCTCCTTCTCCTCGTCATCAACATTGCTCACTTATTATTTAAATTCTCAGTGCAAGAAATAAAAGGGACCCTCGTCTGACAAAGGGGAGGGGCTGTGGGGGATCCTCAGAAGATTCACCAGGAAAAGAAGAGTGGGTTTTCCTTTCTTTCTTTCTTTCTTTCTTTTTTAATGATTAAAAACATAGACGACTCCTGTAAATAGAAGTCTCATTTCTTCAAGAGATGCCTTTTGAAACCCAGTATCTGAATATTCAACGAAGGCAAAGCTCCACTCTGTACGTACAACATTAATATGATCTCTGCAGAATTTGCTACTCAGAAATATTAACATATCAAAGCCAACGCCCGAGGCGAAAGAAGCTATCGATACGCGAGCACAGGGTAAAGTAAAGATTATTGGTTCTGATGGTTGGAGTGGCGGAGCTGCGGGCAAAATCGCGCACACCATTAACCGAGAGTGAGCGCGCGGGGAGCTACGCCTCCAAGGCGGTGGCAAATATTTTATCTAGGTGGTAATTGCCTTGCTTCTGCCTCTTTTCCGCGTATTTTTCCCTCCATACTAGACTCTCATTACAGACAAAAACAATGTAATTGCTACTTGCAGAAGTGAGTAAGAAATGGCATTTTGTGTTTCACAAGTGGCCAAATTTTAAGAGCAGACACTCACCAACGCTTCGCCCTACTGCAACCAAGACAGTTCTCTTGTGGCCCCACATAGAGCACACACACACATATTCCTCTTTAAGAAGAACATTTGGGGAGGTCTTTGGAAGTAATTTCTATGTTCTTTTTTCTACCACTGTAAATTCTGGATATCATGAGAAATATAAATGTATCCAAGAATTTAGGAAGAGTGGATAATGGTAAAAAATTGGTGCTTTTTTATTTTAAATGTATTATGTGTGGAGTGTCACCTCTAAAGAATAGATTGGGAAAGAAACAGACACTGTCGTCTAAACTCTTAGTCCATACTGCACCGGGCTTTAAGGGGGATGGTGGTACAGCAATGTGCGTCAGCTCACGTACTGCCAATTTAAAGAACAAAGGTGACTGGAGCTATTGATACAGAAGTCTGTGCGCACGGGTGACAACAGAGAGAGGGGAATTCCTAGGCATTTTCTCAAAAACAGTGCCCTGAGCTAAGGGGTTGGGCAGATGAGAAATAAATGAAATCCTCTCTTGAGGCAGTGCATCCTTACTATCCACTTGCAGTTTGCCATGAATAAGGATATTTTCAGAGAGCACAGACAGGCACAGACACGCATGCTCCATTCCAGGGCCCACGCAGATGACCTGGTCTTTTGCTAAAAGAAACAAAATTAAACAAACCCAGCAGTGAAATACTTAGTTACTTCGAGGTGGAGGGATTAAGGATTAATCAAACAATGCAGATATAACCCCTGAGTTATATTTCCTCTCTATTTGGAGTTATGCTCTTCTACAAAATCAATGTTTGATTTAAAAATGCCGGATTAAGAGATTATTTTTTAGGTGAAATTAACAGACACTAAATTCTACCAGAACAATAAACATCCCCTAATGATCAGTATTTCTACGGTTGTGATAAGCTCTCAGCTCGCACCCTGTGGATTCCTAAAAACCTCTGGCATTTTGGGGAGAGCACTAGGGGGAGGGCCTGTTGCCTCAATCTGAAAATCCGACGGATTCCATTGGCGTGGTGGCAACCCCAGCTCCTGCTCTCGGCCTCGAATAATTCTCTCCCCGTGTCACCTATCCTACGATTAGCAAGTAATTCCAAGCGTTGGAGGAGGTGGTGGTCCTCAGGCAAATACGGAACTGAATGCTACCGCCGCGGTGGCGCGAGCTCAGCGCTCCCAGGAGCAGCATCCGGGCCCTAATTAGTGGCGCTGTCCTTCAGCACCACCGCCGTCTCCGTGCGCCGGGAGCGCGGGACCTCACCTTCGGTCCTACCCGCCCAACAAGATCGCGACCGTCAGGTCTCACAGGAACTCCTCTCATGGTGTATTTTTTTTTTTTTTTCTTGACTCACAGGGTGGCTAGTTAATTTTAATATTCACCACTCTCGGTCCTGTTTCTTGTCATTTCCGAATGAGTGGTTACTGACCTAACTGCCCAGCTTAACATTGTTCAGCTTTTGTTTTTCAAGTCTGTGTGTACCAGTGCCCACAGTTTTTGCTTTAAGAATTGAACATCTCTTTTAAATTTAATATAAATTCGAAGTACACACTATGACAACGCCCAAGTTCTTTAAGGAAAAGACCTTTTGTTTTCTTGCTTCCTGAAGTTAAATGTCCACATTGGATCGTGAAACCTGCAATTTAAGCAAAAATATCAGCTGCTTCCAACCAGCACACTTTCCTGTCTAGAAAAGCAAACAATTCAAGAATCTTCGAAAGGGATAAAGAATGACTGAACCCCTGCCATCAGAAGTGACTCAGTTTTAGTGGCTTGGTTACTGAAGATCACTGTGGCCTGGGAGCAGGAATTAGTCTTGGTGAATAGGCCAAGTCTTATTAATTCATATGAAGTTGGGATAACAGCTGGTCCCTCTTGCCTTGCATGCTCTTTGGGTTTCTCAGCATGCTAGGAAAATAAACTTCAGAGGCTCTGGTACAGTTAAGTAGGGGAAGCCAACCAAAATCTGCACTGCCTTGAGGCCCTGGGAGTGTCATAGTTCAAAACCTTTTGTGAAAATGGAACATCTGAGATGCAGCCCCCTTCAGTGCTTGAGCTGAAAGCAACAGCCCTCTCCTCTCCTCTCGCCTTCCCCCACCTCCCAATTCCATGGGTAACTCTGGATTCAGATGTTTTCCTCAACAGATGGGAACAAGAAAGCTTTATCCGGTACAGTTAACACTACCTCCTCCTCCCACCCTGCCTTAAAGAAAGAAATGTTCTGGACTCTTACAGAAATAGGGCAGCTACAATATTGGTGTTTCATTAGTCTCAATGATCAGGCCTTTCATAGAGTCTCTCAAGGCCTGAAGCTAACTATATCACCTCCAACACCCAGCCTGTGGCTGACACATTAGTACTAAAAGAGACCAGAAAGTCTGCTTGAGGATGTGGCACTGGTGATGGGCAGGGGTGTGAAAAGTGGTTGTTTTTTTATTCTCTGTTTTTTATCTCTAAATTTGAGCTTGTCATTGTTCTGTGAAGAGCAGTGAATATTTCCTGGCACAAGTCTTTTGGGTTCAGTGGTCAAGCCTCAAAGGGAGAAAGGAAGATTTTGAATGTAGATATGCCTCTATGGAACTTCAAGTATTGAGTAAGAGTGATTGTTTCCACAATCAGCAGACAAAGCATCAGAGGTGCATGAGCACTGTGAGACCTTCACAGCAAAATAAGAACGTTGATGGTCAAAATGTTCTTACCTCTTCTTATCACTCCACCTTGGCCATTGAGGACAAGCCCACATTGAGCTTCCACAGAGCCCTTAATAAAAGAAAAAGAAATAAGATCACTACACTCTGATCGGTATGATGGTGTAGGCACAGTGTTTCAGGGTGGTCCAACCTTAAATCCTACCCCAGTAGGCATTTAAAAACAGCCATTGAGCTGCAACAAGCTTGCCAACAAACACAACTTCAACAAAAATTGACAAGAAGTGCCACAATGTAAACGTTGTATACATCTTATTTTATACCTCTTATGCCCTTTGCAGCACCTGAGGGTCTTTCATCTTGGTGTAAGAGCATTAGCAGCCCTTTGACAATGCAACAAGGCACATAGAGTACACACAGAGTGGACACCCAAGACTTTCAGAGGGAAGAAAACTAGACCGTAATGTCAAGGCTGAGGCTGTAGGTTTCTTGTGAGGCTTACAAAGTTCAAGAAATCTTATGAGGATTCTGTTTTACCCCAACTGTAGGGACATCCTGCATTGCTACCCAAAATCTGCCTTGAGGAGGAGACACCTGCAGATTCAGAGACTACAGATCTTCAGGCTCCTAATGGATTGAGGACTCACTTGGGCTGGAAGGGTGGAAAGGGTATGCTGAGCTCTTATTAAGAAAAATAAAATTTTCTCTGTGGCTCTCTTTTTTTCTCTCTATCCAAATGTGTTAAAGGCTCATTTTCCTCTACAAACAAACGAGGTATTGGACATGAAAGAGGCCTTGAAGGGTGTTAACCTACCCAACAGCCCGTGAAGAGTTAAGTACATGCGGAGAGAGTCGGTGCATAATAAAAACCCACTTTACAAAACAACCTTTACAGCTCTGGCTCCCTCTTGCCTCCCATTTTCACCATATTGAGGCAGGCCTTTAAGACCCCCCTTTTCAACCTACTCACGAGTTCTTTCTTATTTTAAATGTTCTGCCTTAAAGTGATTATCAAATCAATATGAAAAAAAACCTTGGAGACTGAGCATAAATTAAAGCGGTGATGGGAAAAGGTGTGACAGTTTTCTTTGTTGGCCATAGCAAATCTTTTTAGGGGACTCAAAGATGGAACTGAAGCCACAAGACTGTTTGCATCTGTCAGGCAGACTTAGACCGCCCTCCAAACCATTGGACTTTCACTTAAAATTCTGTGCAGGGAAAAGTATATTTACATTTGTTGCATTTAAAATGAGACATATGCTGATGAATGTTTTAAAAAGGAGGAAATAAAAGGAGAGAGACGGGTTTCTCCCACACACTCCCTCCTCATTTCTCGTTTCAAATGTAGCCATGATGCTTTCTTTTCCATTCTGCCAACGAGATTCAGGGAGAATGGTAGAAAATGACTTGCCACATGTACAAACTTGCTTCATAACATATTGTTATGTGACATATATCGACAGAAAGATGTGCAGGGAACGATGTATGTATCTATTTTATCGTACACTGTACTCTGATTTCATCTCATACCTTGAAATAGTTCCCTTCTCAGAATAAGCAAAAATGACTTAATATGAGCGAGAAAAGGCTAAGAAGATAAGCACACAAGAAAGAGTCAAGCTAGAGAAAAATTTGGCCTTAGGAGACCTGAGACAGAGAAGGTAAATCATTTCTAAGGGAGAAAGGAATGAACGATTTTCTTTCCTCCTCACTAGTGAACTGTTAAAATGTTTATTTCTTAGAAGAGACGAATCTTCGTCTCTTCACTTAACAAACTTTTTTCTCTCATAAGTAAAACATGTTGTTTGGTCAGATGACATTGCATAAATGACCAGTTGAATGGCACTAAGTCGAAAATTGGATAAACTACGGTGTCCTTTTGCGCGGGGTTCTTTCTTTGTCTGCTGCTTGCAAATGTTCTAATCCCCTCTTTTGAAAAATGCCTGGCTTTGTGCCTCGCACAGAAAAAAAATTTGTACAGATACAAAAAAATCAGCAGCAGACGTGGCTATTAAAAGGAGTAAATAGGTTTTAGTTGAGCTAAGCATTGAATGGCAGATTTTTTCCCCCTTGAGACATAAGGAAACCCTTGTGAAAAATGTAAAAATGCACTGGGCAAATAAAATCATTTTTTGAATATAAGTGTAGAACGTCAAGTTTTGTGGTGCCAGATCTCTCTCTCTGTGCACGGAACTAATGGCCTTGGCCCTTTGTTGGCAATGTAAGGGCTTTGACTTTAATTTAAACCTAACCCCTCACTCCGAGGTAAATGAGGGGACAGGATTTTCTGTGCGCAACAAGGGGTCTCTTACGTCTCCAACTTCTATCTTGGAATACATCGCCCCGCTCGCCAGGGAGAGTGTGGAGGAAGGGACCACAGTCATGCAGACGGGAGAAGCAGGCACTCGCAGGTGGAGGCCGACTAACCATGAAAGGATGGGCCAAGTTTGAGTTTTTTTCCTTCTCACTCTGGACATTTGTGGGTTTTTCTGTTTGAAATGTGCCTGAGAATACGATTGCGTGATTAGCCATCTTATTGTAGGCAAAGAGTGTGCAAAAGTGTGTTAAAAAGAGAGCAGGGAATCATGTTTTTGAGGGATGGCCTCCATAGCAGTCCTTGTCTACTTCCCCCGTGGTCCCTCCCTCCTGTTCTTCCTCCCTCCTCCTCCCTCCCCCCTTCCCTCCCCCTTCCCTCACTTCCTTCCTTCTCTCTGTATTTCTTTTCTTTTTTGCCTTCCTCTTCTTCCCTTTCTTGTCTCATCTCTGTGTTTCAAAGGCACTACATCTAATGTACGGTTACCTACAGAGGAAACCTCTGGGTGTGGATCCTCCCGTGGGCTGTGATTTGAGCACACAGAAGGCACAGAGAACCGGACTTAGTGCTACACTTTGGGCCAGTGCCCTGTGCAGATTTTTTCATTGATGTGGATTGAGGCTTTCCTTTGTGGTTTCTACTTCGTGCAGCAATCTATTATTTGTGGTCAAACTTGCTCAAACTCAGATTTCCCACAACAGCCCCATCCCCCATTTCACAGTAAAATCCCCAGAAGTTTGAACTAGGGGGTAAAAAACAAAACAAACAAAAATGGTCAGGAACAGAAGCATAGATCCCATGAAAAGCAAAAACCAAGGGCTGCATTTGCAGGCCACTTATTGGCTCCCAGTGAGGGCAGGAACTGGAACCAAACCCAGCCTCTCTGTCTCTCTCACCCTGTCCTTAAGGTCAGAGGTGTGGGTGCTCTGGAACTGCTGTGGTGACTGGTGAACTTGGGTGGACCACCGCGAGTGGGTGCATGCCTGGACCAAATGAAGGGGGCAGGGTGGTCACTCTCCTCTAATTGCTTTGTATTGTTTTGATAACTTTCCCTAAGTGGGTAGGGGAGAAGGGGAGAGAGGGAGGGAGAGGAAGGGAGAGAGAGACAGGGAGAGAGAGACAGGGAGGGAGAGAGAGAGAGAGAGAGAGAGAGAGAGAGAGAGAACTGCAGCCTACAGTAGTCATGGTATTAATGGGCGGGAGGGGGAGGGCGACGAGGGGAGGGCGCAGGCAGCCGCGCGGCGCGCTTATTTACCTGCAAGTCGTCCGCGCCCGCGGTGGCCAGCCCCAGGCTGGGCCCTGGCAGAAGTCTTTGATCTGGGTGCATCCCATACTGAGAGCCGTGGCTCATGAGGGACAGGTCGTGGCGACGGTAGGCATCGAGACAGCCCAGCTCCCGCCTTTGCTCGTCCAGGCAGGAGGACTTGAGTGCCCGCGCATTGTGCAGGTTAATAAAGTCTGCGGGCTCCCCGTGGTGGATCTGCTGGTAGTACTGCTGCGAGTGGTGCAGAGAGTTCAGCGAGTAGGCGTCGGGGGTGACCGCCGGGTGGCTGTGCTGGAGTTCGTAATGGAAGGACTGGTGGTGCAGCGGGGCGTACTGGTGGTTAGTGGAGAAGTAGGGGGACGCAAACTCGGTGCCGGTGGTGGAGTAAGTTAAAGGAGAGGAGGAGGAATAGGCGACAGTGGAATTGGCCACGGACTCCAGACAGCCAAGCTGCATCAAACGGTAGCTGTTTGATCCGTCGTGACGTATCTGGAAGGAAGAGGGGGAAAAGGGAGAGCAGAAAAACTTGAGGTTTGTCATTTTGTAACCAAGGCGCCGCTCGCCCGCCGGAAGCCGGGAGCCTCCTCCGGCTCCGCACCGGGTGGAGCGCGCGGCGCCGGGTGGCACCGCACCGGGCGCCGCCTTTGCAGGCAGCCTCGGCAGGCGCGAGCGGGGAGCTGGGGGCGGGCGGCCTCGTCCTCACAGTGGAGAGAGCGGGGGAAAAAAATCCCCCACCCTATATAGGTGCGGGCGACATCACACGCGCACACACGCAGACACACAGACTCACGCGCACACAGACACGCGCGCACACCCTGCCCCTGCCCGACTTGGGCAGGGTGCTGGGCGCCAGCAGCCGGGTTTGCAGCCGACTCCGGCCGCAGGGCGCGGGACAGTGCACCCGGCTCCCGGCACCGACAGCCGCGCCCGTGCTGCCGAGGTGTTCGGCCAGGGCCGCTCAGAAGCAACGTCCAGTGCATTGAAACAAAAACGCAGTCTGCAAATCACCCAACTTGCTCACCTCCTTAGCGGTCTGGGGGAGGGCATCCGACCCCTCCTCATATGCTTCCCTTTTCCTGAATAAGCCCGTTCCGAAACGGGTGCGTTGCTCCCCACCCCCCTTTGTCCACCTACCGCCCCCCATCAGTCCTTGTTCTTTGCTTGCCTGAGAACCCTTCTCTATCTCTTTCTCCTCGCCCCCCCCTTATTATTAGGATTATGTTTTCTTCCTCATTGTGGCGAATGTTTCTTAACGTGGCAGAGTTGCCCTTCCCGGCGACAGATGTCATAACGAACTTTCTCCCCTTCCCTTCCTTAACTTCCCCGGAAAGTCAGATTATAATTAAATGTAACGGTCCAATATAGATTAGAGACAGGGGAAGCTGCCACCACCGCCGCCACCACCGCCGCTGCCACACACACGCGCGCTCAAAAAAAAAAAAAAAAGTAATAATACCTCGGCGTCGTGGACTAGTCCCGGAAAGGTAGTTGACATGTTGGGTTTCTCCGAAAGCTTACGATGCAATTTCCCCCTCCAAAAAAAGAATCGGGAAAAAAAAAAATCCAAACTTCTTGTATTTTCCAATTTTTTTAAGGAAGAAAAAAGTTCTATAGATAGAGATCTAAATTGTAATGGTTTTGCCCAGACCAGATAGCTCCTTGCCTTGTACCCACTTAAAAACCTGTAGGAACAAAATTTTCCCTCTGCACAAAAGCAGCTCCCTGGAACAGATTTTGTACTTGCTGAGTATTTCTTTGGCTGATGTCGTAGGTCCCTTGGTAATATAGAAGTTTTGAAAATTAAGCATCAGCACCGAGAACTGGGAGGACAATAGGCAGAAGAGATTTATCCCAGGAGACAAGGAATAAATATTGTATCTTCGCCTAATAAGGAACTGGAGGTTCTTTCAACATTTTTATCCGTTTTTTCCAACCTTTATCATGCTTTTCTGTACCAACTGAGGTGGGGATTCATCTCTGTGGACAGTATTTGCACACATTTTATTGTGAAGATAGAGACCTAGCCCCAATGTGTGTACATTAGAGATAGAAATATATATTAATTAAAGCCTCCTTTACCACGGGCAAGTGTACATTCCTATTGGTTCCAACGCTTGGATGCTGAAGGCTGCTTTTCGCAACAAGCATTGGTATCAATTTTGCCCAGATTGGGGTGTTTGCCTTCGCCCAAGTGCAAACAATACTGCTTCTTCCATATTTACATCGAATTTGGGTTCTTTCCCCCTTTTGAAAGGCAACACCAGGCGGTGGCTTACACTTTTCAGCAGCTTTTAAGATAAATAACCATGATGGACTGTCCCAAGTTTCAATCATTGTGGTGTAACTGGCAATAAATTTAAGAAAAATGCAAGCAAATAAAGACGTGTGGCAAGAGTCTACACTTAGGTAAATGTTGTCTTTCACTTCCCAACCCGACCCATTTCCTCCGCTTTGTGCTTTCTTTCTTCCCTTTTGTAAAACAGCGCTGCTTAGAAGTGCGTGTGTGTTGGGGGGTGCAGACCATTTAACACAGGAACCACGTATTTGAACACAATTTCCCCAAAATAGCCAGGCAAGCTTTAGAGTTTGATCTCACAGAGAGGGCAGGAGCGGGGCACTTGAGCGCACCTATCTCCCTTTCTTTGGTGCATTTCTCCACTTTCAAACAGTTCTTGAGGTTTACTTGCTTCAAAATTTAGCTTCCCCCTGAAGTTGTGGAGTGCCTGAAGGGGGAAGCAGTGGGCTCAAACTGGTAAGATTGGGACTTTGCACGGTCCAGCCTCCAGCCCCGTGGCTCCTGTGAGAGCTGGCTGCCCTATGGACGCATCTCACAGATAGAGGGGTGATTCAGTCTTAATTGCTGTTTCATTTGGTTAGCTTTTAAGTGTTTAAGCTGAGAAGGGGTCTTAATAATAAGCCGCAGGCAAACAGGCATGTGGCTTTTTTTTTTTTTTAGGTTGGGGTTTGGGAGGGTTTATTAGGCTCTGCTCATTCAGGCTAAGTGGGGCTGTCACTCAGTGCTCTTTGCTTTATCCAAATGGACAAAGGCACACGACAAGAATTGAAATGCATTGTCTGAAATGGAGATCTGAGATGCTCCTGCCCTGCACAGGGGTCAGCAGCTAACGCTTGCTCCTCATTTCAAGGTGTGCCAGCCCCCCTACTTCTAATTCTTAAAATTCCATATTTTAGCCTCATGAAGGCAAGAGATTGAGAAGTCAATGAAGATGAAAATAACGTCTGTCCACTCTCTAAATAGAAGGGGTGAGATGAGTTTGGGGTGGCACCGAGGCTGAATACCCAAATGCTTGTCTGGTCATCTTTGTTGGCGAGTTTGCCCGCAGCCCGCTGTAGGACACAGGACATAAGCCACCTAATCATCCTCGGGTGCTGGGCTGGGCCACCACAAGCTTTTCCCAGATATTGTGCCCTGAGAAAATCCAGCTCAGCTCCCCAGAAGACTGTGTGGAGCCCACACACGGTGTTGTGAATGGCCAGGTTTACCTTTCTAGGTGGATACCTGGGATTAGTATGCCACGCAGCCTGAGCTCAAAGAAAAGAGATGGTGACTTCTCTGAGGAGCACCAACCTGCTCCCCCAGTCTCCTACTGTCATATATCTCCACTGAACAGGAAGGGACCTTCTCCTCTCAGCTTAGGTCTTCTGAACAACAGACACAAAATCCTCTCCCCTGGGGACAACCTGGAGGCTCTGGGCCAGGAGGCTGCCCCTTGTGTTGCTGATCCCAGAGAGCCCCAAGAAACCCTGTCCTCAGAAAGGGCAGCCTGGGCTGCTCTCAGTAATGCCTGCAGCCAGACACATCTCAAGGAATGACCTTCAGCTGCCTCTTCCCCTGGGCATCTAAAGATGTTACTGAATCACTAGCAACTGTACCTCCCTACTCTATTTTCTGGGCTCACCCTCCTTTCCAGGGTGATGTAGACAAAAGGTATTTGTGTTTTATTTACTGTGACTGTTTAATACTTTGGACTTACAGAAGACTAGAGATCACAGAGAATGAAAAAAATCCTTTATTTGTAATGGAGACCTGCAAGAAGGGTACAGTGACCCCTTCCAGTTTGGGATCCTCTCTCCTTTTCAAAGTGCTCCTTCCTCCTTTCTCCACACAGATCCCATGCCAGCCTTCTGGACCTGAGAGGGAGACTTCACTTGGCCAAATGCTCCCCCTTCTTCATCTCAACTTAAAAAAAAAAATCTGTTGTCCTGAAAGAAGAGTTGGGGAAATCACATCTGTGCGATATGTATGCACTGACCAACATTCCCTTCATTCCCTTCCATCCTCCATGGGGTTGCACGGAGCACCCCTTCCATAAGGAAATTCACTGAGGCAGGTGTATGTGATGTTTGGTGCTGTGTGTGTGTGTGTGTGTGTGTGTGTGTGTGTGTGATATGTGCATGCATCACACTGGTTTCTGTCACATAGTTCCTTCCCCCTTTGCCCCTCCCATGCAATAATAGTCTTGGGCAATTAATGAGCATCATCTTGCTTCCCTCCAAAACTGGGCCTTTCGGTAAATTTCATTCCTCTTTTGGTTTTCTCCATTTCCTGGAGAGCGACTGGCCACAGGTTCTCCAGAGGGTGGGGGAATTGAAATAACCGGCCACAACATACTGGGGATAGGATGACAGTCACCTGGACCCCCTTGCTGGGGAGCTGGTGGGCAGCATCCTGGCTGCCGCTGGAGCCCAGGCTGGTGCCTGCCCACTACAATACCCTGCAGACAGCAGAAGTTGAGGACAGTCTCCCTCCACACCTGTGTGCATGGCCGTCCTTCTGGTTCATGTTCCACGCTCTTGGAGGGATCCTTTAGCCAAAGTCACTTTAGGAATCTGCTAAGCATTTTTTATGCATATCGTAGACGACGTGCCTGGGGTTCAGAGCTGAAAGAGGGTTACAGGAGGCTGTACGTCCGCTTCCTGAGCTCACAGGTTGTGCTATGCAGGTCACTAGTTTTGGTCCAATGTAGAAAAATCTTTATTGCTCAAGGTGAGCTAAAACTTAGCAGCCATCATGTGTTTATCTCTAGCTTTAATAAACATGGATTTCTCTTTGTTTTGATTCTTAAAGTTTCCTCTGTTCCTGCAAGTGGATTACTTTGTTTTCTTGTTGCGTAAAGAGTCTCCTCTCACAAAGTTGCCCATGCAGCACAAAGTGAAATAAGGATCGCTAGTCTTTGTGTATTTCTGTCAGAAATATTCCATTGGGTGTGTTCACACACATGTGTCAGAGTATCTTTCTCCTTCCTTTGTCCCACCCTTTCTTTGTCCTTCCCTTCCTTCCCTCTCCATTACTCCTTTTCTCATTTCCTTCCTTTCTTCCTATACTTCTAGTTGGAGATAGAGACGAGATCACGTTCATTAAACCTGTGTCTTTATCAAACACTGCGCACCCAGTGTACACTGCCCAGGGACGATGTTCAGTGCGCTCTGCTCCAGGGTGCCCTGCAGGTCTGGAAGACAATTTCCAAGGTCACAAAGGCCCTGGTCTCAAAAGAGTTTTGGGTCAAGGGATCACAGGGAAGCGCTGGGACAATATGGCCCCATAGGGCAGTGTCCAGGGGAGTCACTCTTTCTTCCCCCAGCCCCTTGCTTTTCACTCTCTTGGTGAACACAAGAAGCCTTCAGAGAAGGTGGAGTAGGCGGGGCTCTCCTGTGCTCTCTTGGGCTGGGCCTGCTCTGCCCGCCCTCTGGAACCTTTCACTCTTCTGAGAATCTCCAGCCCCCTGAGAGTCTCCAGCTAGAACATCTCCCAGGAAAGGATATGATTGGGGTCTCCAAGAGGAAAGGCTCAGGCCTTTCTCCGAGGATGCTCTAATTTCAGTCACTGAGGATTTTAGCTGCCTGCAACTTCTGGTCTACTGATTCTCAAAGATGCAATTTCTCCTAACTTTCTAACTTTTCCCAGTCACGACCGAAGCCAGTGGGTGACTGGGGAATGCCTTCTGGTGACAGAAAGACTTGGCGCGTTGGAACAGCTGGGCAGTATGCCGGTTCCTGGTTGATTCCTTTTTTTGTTTTTGCGACACAGTCCCACTCTGTAGTGCAGGCTGACCTTAAACTTGCTTTTGTAGTCCAGACTGACCTTGATTTCTTGGAGCTCCTCCTGCCTCAGCCTCTGGAGTGCTTGAATTGCAGGTGTGCCCCGGGGAGTCCAGCCAGGGCAGCGATTAAATGTTCCACATCCCACAAGGAGGAAATAGAAGAGTTCTCCACACATCTAAGATAATCCTGGGAAGGAGCAAGTGTTCTAAAACTTGACCCAGTTACGTGGACTCTGGTTTTGGAGGGAAAGTCCGTGACAATGCGTTTATTCTCCTGTGCAAACCCGATGGCTCAGGCTCCCTCACCCTACCCGGGCCCCTACCGGGAAATCGCCAGCTTTTATTCCGCCTGGAGGTGTAACTGACACTGGGTCTCTCTTCACAAGCCCCCCAGCTTTCCTGGAGCCGGCCACCCATGCCCAACTTCACGCCCTTCCACAACAGAAGGGGCACCACAACTGCAAATGGGAAAAGGCAGCCTGGTTTTAAGACAGCATTAGGATGCCTAGGAGAAATTAACATTTCTGACAGACTCTCCAGTCATTTCAGTTTAAGAGTTGTCATTGATTTTTTTGAAACCTCTTTCTCTTTCTTTCCATTTACCACCCCCCCCCACCTCCTCCTTCGCGACCCCACCCCGCCCTCCGGGCTGTTTGTCAGAAGCCTAAAGCGGATCTGTATTCCCCCTTAGCCTCGAAGCCCACAGGCAACTCGGGTTCCACGGCTGTACGGAGGAGCGCATTTGCAAGCAATTAAAACGCCTCCCGAACGCATTAGTCGAAAATTAAATGGGAAGTCCTCTCCGTCTGAAGCGCTGTCTTTGATAACAGGGTAACTTGGCGCCGAGGCCCTGGCGGCCCTGGCCGGCAGCGCGGGGCTCAGCCGCAAGGCAAAGCGGAGAGGGGAGGGGATCCCCGAGGCCCGGACCCTGACGGCAGGAGGGGAC